TGCCAATCTCATAATGTGCTTAAATTCATGAAATTTAGGAAGGTAGACTCACTACTAAAAACTAATAAATTGAGTTATCAGTAGACCTGGAGAGTGAAACAGTCTACTCTGTAGGTTAAATAAAGTGTTCAGTTTGAAAGGTTACTTCAGGTAGATTTGATAATGGATCAGCCCTGGGTGAAGCCCCTGAGGGTTGTTTCAGTATCCTGGAAAGTGGGATGAACAGTTGCATTTGGTAGAAGTGGCAAGAATACTGGACCAATGACACAAATGATGAGCTTCTGTTGGTCAACTCAGTCCTGGGTGAGTAGGTGTCTAGTAGGGAGGAGGGATGAAGTAGTGTTGGCTTGGTTGTGCATAGGCTACACATACCTTTCCCCAGTAAGGTAAATTTTGATTGAAAGTACTCACTTGGCCTCTGTGGGACATGGATCCTGCAAAGAGGGTAATATAAAAAAACAGTTTAAAAGTGCTGAAACTGTCAACTGTCCTACCTTAAAGAAGGTTTTCACCAAGACATGAAATACTTGCAATGGATCATCTACAGGCTATTTATCTATAAAACGTGCATTTGCTCTGAAGATGAATTGAATACAAGGTACCTATGGTTGACGGTATGAAGTTGCATTCAAGTTGTGTGTGGTTGAAGCCATAAAATCCCATACAAAATATTTAGAGTTTGGCATTAAGTAACACGTGTACATCTGTTTCATAGACTATGCAAAGGCTTTTGACACAGTATGCCACAAAGATCTGCTGGAACTGCTCAGCAACCTTGATATATTTGGGAAAGATATCAGAATAATCAAGAACCTATACTGGCAGAAAACAGCATGCATGTGCATAAGGAACAAGTTCAGTGAACATACAAAAATAGAAAGGGGCATAAGGCAAGGATGCGTCTTCCCACCTGACCTGTTCAATCTATACAGCAAGGTAATTCTGAGAGAATTGGAAGACCTACTGAGACTTAGCATTGGTAGCCACAATCTTAATAACATAAGATACACAGATGACACAGTACTGATAGCAGACAAGGAAAAGAAATTGAAAAATCTCATACAGAAGATAGCAACGGAGAGTGAGAAGGGACTAAGCATAAACTATAAGAAGACAGAATGCATGGTCATCAGCCCAATCAGTCCAAAATGAGATTTGCAGGTTGGGAGCACTAGAATCAAGCAGACACAGAAGTTTAAATTGGAAGCATTTTGACAGAGGACGGTAAGTATGACACTGAGATCTGCAGATGTATTAGGACAGCCAAGGACGCATTCCAAAAGCTAGGCAGTGTATTGCAAAACAGGATTTCTTTAGTAACAAAGAAAAGAATACTGAGCTATTACATGACACCTGTCCTTCTTTACAGCAAAAATGTTGGATGATTTCCTCAAAGATGAAGAAGAAACTCGAGGCGACGGAGACATGGTTCTACAGAAGGATGCTAAGTATATCAAGAACCGAGCATGTGAACAACGATGAGGTCTTAGAGAAGTTGCAAACAAGGAGGAGGCTTATACTTAACATCAGGAAAAGACAGCTGAAGTTTTTGGGACATATAATGAGGAAGGAGGGCCTACAGAATCTGATACTCACGAGTCGAATAGAGGGAAAGAGAGACAAGGGAAAATAATGTATGACATACCTAGCGGGCTTAAGCAAGTGGATGACAGAACATGGTCTGGGGGAGGTAATAGATGGAAGAAACTTGTTGAGAGCAGCAAGGGAGGTGGAGAGCGATGATTGCCTCCATTCTGAAAAGACATCGCATATAAAAAGCAAGAAAAAGTTGCTGCTAAAAAAAATTAACTAAACCTGAAGATTACTTGAATAGTAAGACATCTGAAGAAGTCTGGAGAGATCAACAGCTGAAATGTTATGATAATAACAACAAAGATGAGGATATTAGTCCAAATGTAAATAATATAAATTGTTGTGGCCTTGTTAGGGCCAGAAATAAAGACACAAGAGAGGTATTGAGTTAAACAAATATATTAACAGAAACAGTAATACAAATATATACAAGAGTGAGTGTTACTGCAAGAATATTCAGTCTGACTGTTAGAGCAGACTGCTGGAAACTTCTGTCTTTAAAAGGCAGTACCTGCTCCTATTTATAGCTGGGAGAGTTCATATGTGTATGGGTAAATTACCATAACATAAATAATGATAGAATCAATCCAAACAACTACACTAATGTTTTTCCTTTGAGATAGTATCCATTTTTTGACATTTCACTGCTGGTTTGTAAGTTGTACATATTTACTTTTAAGGTCTTCAGAAAATCTATTGTGTTTTTGCAAAACATTTTTGAACATTATGCTGGAATTAAACACTTCTTTCCAAGTGGGTGAGAGAAGGCAACATGTTTTCTTTAAATACATTGCAGTAACATATTGCCCATTCATGCTTCCTTCAATGAACTGCAGATCACCAGTGCCAATGGAGTTCATGCAATTTCAAATTATGGCATTTTCATCTTTATGCTTTTCGTTGTACA